TTAAACAAGTCAAGGAAACGAAACAATGGTATTTACACCATTTTGGTCGTGACCGCCTTTGTTGATGAACCTTGCTTTTTCGCAAACTTTTAGTACTTTTTTGTGAAACCAAAGATGACGTTAACAAAATTTTCATGACGAGCTTAGGTTTTAAGATTCAGGGTGATTTTCGAAACTTTAAGTTTTGGGGCACCCCTCGTATTTCAGGTATCCTATGAAATGTCGGAAAGGTGAAAAGCGCACCCGATATAGATTTTTAATTAGACTTCAATGGTTTGGTCTTTTTCAAATAAATAAAGTTTTTTTTTTAATGAACACCCTATATCTTATAGGTCATTTTCTTCCGCCTGGTATGTACAACAGTATTGAGTTATTTTAATAAATGACCTCACAAAAATGTTTTTTTTTATTTTCATGAGGGTATTTGCGGTAGGCCTTAGAAAATTGATTTATTAAATATCTTATTTACTTACTCAATAACTTTTATAATTAGCATAAAGCCAACTTAGTTTAATATTAATATTTTCACATAGCTCTATGACCTATATATTATAAAAAAAGAAAAACCAAAACGAGAACCTAGATATTAATACAATTTTTTAAAATAAAATAAAAGCTAAAATAAAGCTAAAAAAACTGTTCAAAATGTCGACCGTTTTCGCTAACGCACAACTTGCACACAGTTTTAATCATTTCCAAAGCTTTCAGAATAACAAGAAGTTGCAGTCGCAAACTTTAAGACAGCGTGCGTAAGTAATGTTAGAGAAAATGGCTTAATAATTGTTTCATTAATTATTTTATTAATTAAACTAACCAAAACTTACCAAAAAGGCGAAACCATTTCAAAATTTTGTTAACGTCATCTTTCGTTTCATAAAAAAGTACCAAAGGCTTGCAAAATTGCACGGCACTATATATGTACGTCTATATGGACTTATATAAAATATTTGTCATCAAAAAGACTGGCCAAAATCTCTTTAGTTTTTTACAAAATCTATAATCTATACTGATAGATAAATAGAAGTTCGTTATTGCCATGTGCTGTGTGTAATTTCAACAAAAATTATAATTTTGGCGGTTGTGGGTTCTTTATAGTTGGTTATCAGAAGCTAATGTTCTATATAGTGACTTCTTGGCTCAGGATAATTCAGCATTGTCAAATTAACAAAGCAACGTCGACATGATAACAGTTTTTCAAAATGGTATGCGGAAGAGGTGTTCTTCATATTTGAGTCATTTAGCAAGTTATTAAGTTAATAGTAATTTTCATTCTTTTATAAAATAGGGATGTACCCAAATAATTGGGTGTTTTCATAAGTATGTAATCAGGGGACATGACATAGTTACCTTTATAACGTGAATTTAATTCAATATTGGTTTGCTAATATTTCGTTATACATTACAGATAAAATAACATTTATTCAACAATAGGGTTATGGTTTCTAATAATTTTGTTTTTTAATATAAGATCGTTTGCTTTTGCTTACTTTTTGTATGAAAACTGACATTTTAAAGTGAAAAGGTGATAGCAAAAAATGCCGGAATTCTGTAAAGTTTGCAAACTACTTGAAGGTTTGAATCACGAAGAATCATTTCATGCGTATGTAAAGGAATCGAAGATGTGTTTCATAGACGGTTTTCCGTTCCGTGTTTTGTGTATTTGCCTATAGTATTACCTGTTGTACATTTTCAAAGAATGCTCAAAGGCATCGGATATGGTTTGCATTAGCTCTAAAAGTGTGTCAAGTTTGGTTAATTGAACTATTTATAATGCAATTATGACCATTATAATGTTTAACGTAATCTTACACGTTAATAATTCATTGCTTCTCTCTTGAATTATTATCTCTCGCTTCATGTGGTTTCCATAGCAACCATTCATATTTAAGCGGCATTCCTCACCCCACTCGTCCCTTGCATTGACGTCACAACAATCGCAATGTTATGAATGACTGATGTGGTCTCTTTTATAAATTTAAATAATTAAAAAACTTTAATACTTTAATTTTGCAGATAAATTTATGGCAACAGGTAGGAACAAAAAATACACGTTATATAGGAAAATCTACCACTAAAAAAAAAGATTGCTTGAACAGAAACACAAGACAAGACACAAGTGAATAAAAGAAGGCATCGAATTAATTGAACAAACCGATTGGTTAAACCGTAACAAAACCAACATTACGCGTTACGCGTTACGGCAACGACAAGAAATCGATGATGACGTTCCCACAATAATTTTAAACCTGAAAGCTCGTAATAAGCGTCAAGTTGCAAAAAAAGCAAAAGGCTCCAAAAGCGGCGAAACGGAAAGCAAAGCGTCCCCGAGCTATCAGATGTTTATCATATTTCGGTTCGAGTTAATGACTACCCGTGACAAAAGTGTCTTGCATAAACTTCGCGAAATGGGTTACGTGGGCAGCAGAACAACTAAAACAGATGCCGGTAGATCACAGCCGCAGCATCCTATGAAATTGTCGGTCAAAGACCCCGGTGACCTCTACCTTTAATACGCCCCCAACGAATTTCTACATTTTACTACGCAACGATATTTTGAATATGGGGTTAACATCTGGCCGATCGCGTACGTCGATCGGGCGTCTCTCTTTTTAATCGGCCGCTAGGCGTTATTTATCTTGATACAGTTGGGTGTCGAAAGTGTTTTTCAACGGATTTTAATTTTTTCGACGCTCCAGAAACGTATCGGTCCCCTTTTTACTACGGAAAATTAGTTTTTCCACATTAATAGTGATTTTTTTTAATGGAAATTAATTAATAACGTCATAACCGTCGCAGACACTACAGTGCAACCTCAGTAATCCGGACGCATACCGCCCCCCGGAAACGTGTCGGTACCCTTTTTCCTTCGGATAATTAGTTTTATCGTTTTAAGAACGATATTATTTTTAATGTAAATTAATTAATATTGTCATAACCACCTCAGATACTACAGTGCAACTTCAGCAATCCGGATAAATATCATTCCAGTCAATTTAGATTTATCGAGGTGTGAGGATCACGAAAACGATTTTGTAACCGAAAAAAAAGAAAATCATTCTCATGTTTTTAAAATATAAAAAAAAAACATTTGTATAAAATAACTTTTATCTGAAGATGACTTCTTAAAATAAGTTAAAATATTTATTGGTCAGAAAATAACAGCAAACTATGAAAAACATCGAGTCATATTTCTCGAGTTTGATTGCTAGTTAGCTTTCCATTACTGTTTTCTCTGTATCTGGCAATTTACAAATTTAATAAGCATGCAAATTAAGATTTATGTTAGCCTTTATGTTTTGAAATTTATCACTTTAACCAAACCAATTATGAATATGAGTTCATTTTAAGACGAGATACAAACTTTTATATAATAATTTTTATACGTTTGACGAAAACTGAACGGAAGTTGCTCAATAGTTATGTAGTTTATATAGTATGAATTATGTTACATATCAAGCAGGAATTTTCGCAAAATTGTTTTATAGTTCGTTTAGACAATTCCCATTAAAAAGCACGTTTGGTGTACGAGATACAGCTTTCCAGCTCTTTAAGGAGAAAATTATAGCGAAACTTTTAATCACGATACAAACCTGTGGGGTTGTTATAATTATAATTATGTGTTTGCTTAAATTTGATCGAGAAGTTTGTAGAATTTGTCTAAAGTCGTACACATAAATGGGTGATTCTGTTTTAACTGTGATTCGTGTTGACGAAATAGTGCAAAGAGTTTATATGAATTTAAATCTCAAATTTACAGTACCGCGGGAGAGAAAATTTTAAATTTGTTTCTCGTTCTTGGCCCTTTGGAGTTGCAGTAAAATATTTTCAGCATTTTGTTTTTACAGTAAAATAGATGAATAATATACATATAAAATTTTTACAAAATCTAGTTTCAAAATCTTAGAAATTTTAACTAAAAAAGTTAGAGTTATAGCAGAATCACTTATAAGTATGCATGCATACATATTTTATTTGTACAATGTGTATTGAAATTGTTCATGAATTGTAAACATTATTTTCTATAAATAAATATTATTACTATTATAAATAGTACGGATCTTCAAGGTCCGAAAGAAAGTTGCTTTAGGACATATAAATTCCATGTGGATGAATGTATCCCACGTGATTTGTCGACATCAATAGAATTGTTTGGGTTCTGAACCCAGCCACCATACCTTACACATACTAAAGCGGGACTTAACAGAACTGTCTTTACGAATTACTGCTGCGAGTTTATCATCTGATTTTCGCAAATTTTTGATTTTTATTCGTTTAATTTTTCCTTTATTTATTATGTTTATCTCTAAAGACACTAGTACTATGATTATCATTTTTATTTCTTTAGCCCTTATTCTTGCTAGACTGCTCTGCGAAATGGGTTATTTTTAAATTTCGAATTTTCATTGTCAAGAATTATGATAGCACAAAATCATTTCATTATCACTTTTTTTTATTTTCCTTTAATAATAATAGTTGTGTGTTGTCAACTTAATGTAATGCAAAATTTTAAATTTTATTTCCTTTATTTTCTAATGCATAAAAATAACCAAAAATGCAGGGATGCTTGAACTGAATTTTCTCTGTCGAGGAATCATCAAATTAATATTTTCACAGAGACTGCCCTCAGAGTACGTTTCAGCTGCATCTGCACAAACGTTTATCTCGACAAAATATATTTATTCGCAAGCTGACCTTAATTGAAACAGCTTTTAACTGATGAAATGGCATATTAATAAAAATCCAAATTGGGCCAATGCTCTTTCGTCTTCGGATTATTAGCAAACGGATGTCGCCGATTAACATTTGGTGTCGACGCTTTGGCCTGAGGGATTTATATCCACACCCCGACGGTATCCGTCGCTCCAAATTGCCCGATAAATCTTACCGGTAGTCCGTAAATAAGACCCGAGGGTCAAAATCGACCCCTCATAAAACTACCTTGGTGCTTTTCCGTGTTGCGATTTGTCGAGGAAAGTGGTTTAAAGGGAATGTTTTTTCAGTTTCAGAAGAAAAGACGGATAGTGGCGCGGGTTCAATGCCACAACATTAAAAAGGAATGCCCGGAACCCACTTGCGATGAGCCCGTTGTTCTCCCAGGACAGTGCTGTAAGACGTGCCCAGGGGATAGCCAGAGTAAGTGCTTTTTGCATTTTTCATTGTCCGTGATCCGCCATGAATTCGAGCGCGCCTGAATTTTTAAATTCGTTTACCTCGAAGGAGAAAATGAAAAGCCTCTGCGGCGCTTCCGAATCGATATGAGGTGTATGAAAATGCCCCTTAATGTGCTTTATTTATATTAACAAAATAAAAAATATATTCATCGGCATCTTCACAGATTTGTATCCTACCTTCAGAAAGAAAGCTTATTTCTAAAGCTACAAAAATATGACACTATATTGAAATCATAAATCCTTTAATGTTTGGCTTAGGTATAACAATTGACTCAAAAATGGTGCGTCATATTGTCAGGCAGTCACAAGATTTTGCCTCAGATAGGGCCCTATCCACGCTCTAGAACTCGTTTATTTTGGCTTTGACTTGGCCCTATTTAAATAATCTCTCTTGCAAAATACATCACCACACAAATTATGTTTTTGCCTCTTTTCGAATAGGCGGCGTATTGATGTGATGATATTTTTTAAGTTTTAATTTTATTTAAACATATTGTAGCTAACAACGAATACTTGTTAGTATTCAATTGTTTTTGACCAACTGTGAACATTTCCGGGTTTGCGATTAGTTTGTGATAGTTATCTTACTCAGTTACTGCTTTGTAAATATTAGTATTGGATATGAAACAACGAATTAAGAGTATTTTAATGGAAATCACACTATAACCTGCAAATGTTCATAGTCCAATAAGTTTTCAGCCAATTAATTCTCTAAACTTATTATTTGATTTATTTAAATATTATTATCCTTCATTTCAAACTTGGTTTTAAATGATACTAGAATCACTATATTAATATATTTTATTTGTCGTGATAAAGTATCATAGAAAGCGATCAATTCAATGACAAAATATTTAAAATGACAGACAATCCAGTAAACAGATTTTGCAGCAAAACGAGACCAAATTCTCTACCTCAATAAAAGATCTGAGGGTAATATGCATTTTTTAAAGATTATATTAATATATTTTATTTGTCTTGATAAAGTATCATAGAAAGTGATCAATTCAATGACAAAATATCTAAAATGACAGACCATCCAGTAAACAGATTTTGCAGCAAAACAAGACCAAATTGTCTACCTCAATAAAAGATCTGCCATTTCTAAATATCAAAGACAAGCATATGCAATAAGAGGTTTATTGGTTAAAGGTGTTATTAGATTAGGATACATTTTTAGCCTCCGCGTATAACAAGTTTTTTATAATTGAGATATTAAATACGTTCTATTTTTTACAGTAGATTTCGCTTACTTACCTTAAATACTTATGTATTTCAAAAATGAAAATTACGATATATTTCCAAAAAATCCAAATTATTTACCTTGCACATAATACACATACCATTTAAAAAATGCAATTTTGATAGTTTGAAAGGCTTTTTGAAAAACTATCGGAAACTTCGGGGTTGTTTTTTAAGACGTATTTTTATAAAAAAAAAACAATTAATATTTCGAAATTTGATTCTACTTAAAAAATTGATTAAAAATCCCCTTTTTGCAATCTAAGAACTTAGAAACGTGTGGTAATTTTGTTTGAAACATCTTTTTTCCCAAGTTGGTATCTAATAACCGAGATACTTCCCAATTGCAACTAAAATGAATCACTCTGTAGGTCCTTAGAACTCATTAATGGAGTTTAATTCTTTTTTATACATCATAAATTTGAGTGATTGGAATTAATCACCGTTAATAATTCAAGACAGTTGTAAATGAAATATCTTTTACATAATTCTCGCTAGACAAAAGAGAGGAAAAAAATACGGAATTTCTGCAAAACTCGTTAAACCGCAGAATAAATACGGTAAGTCGTTTGAAGTGTATTTCTGTATAAAACTATAAATTATGGCGAAACTATAAGTTATGATGCAACAAAAATCGGAATTTCTGATACGGATTTAGTGTCTTCAGTGTTTTATAACGTCAGAAAGATGGTTTCGTAATTTTAAGTGGCTTCTCTATTGCAAGGAACAAATACGTAATAGGTTAAAATTGCTAATGTTTATTACAGATCAAGAAAACCGAAAGCGCATATTTGAGAACGCGATTTAAAATAATATTCATCGTTCATCGTAAACTTTGTTTATTTATGTATTGCGTTTTCATGTTTCAGAAGTTTTTAGGCACAAAATCAATTTTTTCAATGAGTTGTAACTTTTGAACCATCAAAAAAGTATGGGCAGGTATCATATTATAGTCATAGACTTGTCGCTAATGGATTTAATAAATATGGTTTACTTAAATAAATAACGCTGGCAAATTTTCGTTTGAAATACTGATGAAATTACAATTTGAAAGAGAAATGTTGCCACCATATCTTGAAAATCAGACATTTTGTTGCACATTGTTTAGTGCCTACATTTATGTAACACTTGTATGGCCAATGTAAGCTACTTTTCAAAATTTTATTTATTTCATCTTCTTTACAAACATTTTATAAAAGAAACAAGAGTAAATCATGTAGGGTACCTTCACACCCTAACCCGTAATTATAAAAAAATCACCTACATAATTCTATAAAGCAGTATTTAATGTCTACTGTGATCTCGTCTAAAACCACTAAATGGTGACATTGCTTAGATTGTCACTAGAAATTTTATTATTATTTAGATTTCTCACATTTACATTACTTTACATTACATTTACATTACTACATTTAATCTCGTTAGTTAACGGGATCATAGTCTCTATATTGTAAATTCTTTAATTTGTTATAAACAAATATCAGCGATTGTTGTTTTTTCTATCAAGAACAAATCTTGTTTTGAGGCAGTCCAGCATATAGGAAATTTGAAAAATGGTTTCAATTTTATGTACTGAGCCTCACTTGGGTGCAAAGTCTGTTTATATTAGCTTGAATCAATAGTTGATGGTTTTCTCCTAATCAATTCGACAAGTCTAATCATAAGAATTCAATATAACACGTGCAGGGTTTAATAAAAAACACAACATTCTATTCTATTCTAATATTGGGCTACTTCCGGTCCTCCAAGGGACTTTACACTTGTTGTGAGGCGATTAATATGCTTCCGAAACCTTTAATTTTCAATCACTGTTGTGTTGATAAAAATCGCACAAACTCACGGAATCGGTAGGAAAACACGAATCCCATTTTCCATTCTCCCATTCTACAAAAAGGAAAACCCGAAACAACCCAATAGTTAACAATTCTTCTTTGGTTAACATATTCTTCAATTCGGCATCGCGAGCGGCGTGAAAGATATAAAAATTCGACTACCTTTGCCGCCCGACACAATGTTAAATATATTGGCCGTAACGTTATATCAGAGATCGGCATTTGGTTCCAAATATTTCTAAAATTCACCACGGTTCTCGGAACCGAAAAGGAACACAATTTTACGGACCGGGCTCGTCGCGGCCGTCTCCTGATTTTAGATAAATTTTCATGGGATATGGGTTTCGACGAATGTCGCGGTCGTTTATTGACCATTTTCGCCGCATATAAAAGCCGGGGTAGGGTTGGTTCGAACAACCTGTATCATTTAAGTTTATTCTCTAATGATATTGCAGCCTGACTCCCAAATCAGTTCTATTTCACCTCAACTGTAATGTAATGAAATCTTGTTATTATTAACGGGAATAGAAAATAGTTTAGTCTCGGAATGTTGTTTGATTTAATACTGTCGTCGAAATGTATAGGTGGTCCCACTTTCTCTAATCTTGCTTCAGAAAGAAAATGTAATATTAAATCCTTGCGTTTTGGAATGAACTTTATACTATGGGAGCCTCCGCTCAGTTTTACTAGCTTATTGAATGGAACACCGTTTATCCGATTTTAAATATCAGTTCCTTCCAAAAATTTTGAGTTAATATATATTAGCCATTTTAAATTTTATAGTGCCATAGCATATGGCCTTGATGGAAGATAATTACCATATATTACTTACATTCGTGAAAAATTCGCAAAAAAAATTGCAGCTAAACAACTTCGTCAATTCCTATGCGGTAAGAAAATCCTTTATCTTTTATTGCTAGCGTATCTTTAAATGGTACTATCAAAATAAATTTGGATCTGAAAATAATTTCGGAGGTTTCTGCGGCTCATGACCTCTTAATATTGAATACCACCAATACGCAGATCTTATTATTTGGAAATGAAAGGGAAGAAATTGTAAGAAACGATTCGGACGGTTGCAAAAATTTCGGATTATGGTTTGACGGTGACTTGCGGTTTTCTAAACACGTTGGCTCAGTGTTACAAATATATTTCTATAAGCTGAGGACTTGTAAGGGGTGTTTTTTTTCGATGTATAGAACTTTAAGTTGCAATAAAACAACGATGGATTATTCGATTGACATGAATTTTATTTATCCGAAAGATAATCTTGTGGCATTAAATTTTAAATATGATTTCTGGCATATGACCGCCACGGCTGGCGCGGATGTACCTAGTCCAATCTGGACATCCAGTTTTCTTATTGTCTTCCAAATGGTCAAGCGTTTGTGGCCAGAAGTGCGCTTCATCGCTAAACAAAATTCGCTTATGAAAATCGGGAACATCGGCAATCTCGTTTTGGGCCCATTCGACGAATCTACGCCTTACTTGATGATCGATTGGCTTCAATTCTTGCACGAGTTGGATTTTGTAAGCACGTAAACCAAGATCCTTCCGCAAAATCTTCCATAAAGTGGATGGACACAGATCCAATTCCTGTGCTCCATGGCGGATGGACTCATTCGGGTCTTCCTCAATGCTACGCTCCACAGCAGCAATAGCTTCTTCTGTCCGCACCGTACGGCGTTTCTGGGGATGCGAGTTATCAATAAGAGTAAATGTGGTGCGAAAACGTTCCATGGTTAATCGAATTAACTGCTCTGATGGACGATTTTGTCGAGGATAAAATGGACGCAGTGCACGATACGTATTCCGCACAGAACCATTATTTTCGAAATAAAATTGCACTATTTGCAAGCGTTGTTCAGGCGTGAGTCTATTCATGATG